AAGAAACAAGTCAAGATTTTGATGCGTCAGCAAGTCGAAGACCAGCGCCAACGTCACCAGGAACAGCAACAGCTTCTCAACCTGATCCAGGAGTTGGAAGGACGACTCAGTGCCAGAGGCAACAACCAGGCTACAGGAACAGACCCCAACCCACGTACGGGACACGCCAAGGTTCCTAAGCCTGATCTGTTCTACAGAGACCGTAGCAAGTTCGACAACTGGACACTCCAAGTGGAGCTGTACCTTCGCTTCAATCCCCAGAACAAAGAGGATGCAGCCTTGCTGGCTGCAATGCACCTCAGGGGCAGAGCGGAACAATGGGTCAAGAAGTTCCTCAAGCTTAAACTCGAAGGCATAGAGCAGACCGGGATCCTAGACAATTGGCCCAACTTCAAGCATGCCTGTAGACAAATCTTTGGGAATACGACCGAGGCAATCGACGCCGCGCGCTACATCCAGCAACTCAAGCAGACAGGGTTCGTTCGGGACTATACAGCAAGGTTCCAGGAACTCGCTGTAGTGCTTGACTGGGGCGACGCTGCGCTCGCCGAGATGTTCCGCAAGGGACTCAAGAGCGAGGTCAAAGATGAACTCATGCGATGGGGCCCAAGGATCGATGAGCTCGGACCGCTCGTCGAGTCAGCTTGCACTATTGGAGATCGACTCTACGAGAGATCCATCGAACGCAAGTATGAAAACAAGACAGGAGCCATCCCGATGTATCGCAATACACCAAACATCGGACGCTTCAGAATGCGACCCCGCGACCCCGACGCGATGGAAATCGACAACCTCCAGAAGAAACCGATAACTAACGGAAAGAAAATGACCTGTTACGCCTGTGGAAAGATCGGGCATATCTCCAAGGACTACCGATCGAAGAACAAGGTGAACAGGGGAACAATCAACAACTCTGAGAAAAACGTCACGTGCTACTCATGCGGCAAGCCCGGGCACTACTCGAAAGAATGTCCCAACAAGAATCACCGACAAATGAACAGCACTGAGAAACACGAAGACGACCCTCAAGGAAAACAAACTGGGCACGAGAACCTTAGCTGGACCGGTTGCTACGATGACTCTTGTGTGATTCACTTCATAGACAAGAGCGGAGCCGGATGGTTTCCCCAGAAACCCAAAAACAAAAGGAAGGTTAGCATCCGTGACCATCCTGAGGTCCCAACTAGGAAAGGACCACCGAAACGATATCAGAGCCTAGCGCCTGGATACGTGAAAATATACGAAGAAGTCGAGAAGAAAGAAGTATGCGCTACGAGACATAAGCAGGACGGAGTCTTTCAATCACTCGTTCATGTGAATCACAGCCCCACTATAGCCCTAATCGATACAGGAGCCAGCGCAAGCTTCATTTCAGCCGACTTGGTACAGAGACTTGGGATCGCTACCCAACGAAAGAAGCACGCATACCAATTGACCGCTATTGACGGCGCCGAATTACCCACGGTTACCTATGAGACGGTACTAGTAAAGTTGCATATTGACCAGCTGCAGCAGGAAACCCGATTTGATGTCTTAAACAACACAAGGCATGAAATCGTACTCGGATTTCTATAGTTGATAATAAACAAGCCAAGTGTGAATTAGCAGAAGAGAAAACTTAAATTCAAGAATAACAAACCCGCGATAACGGAAGATCGATGCAAGATACAGGCACTCGATACGACAACCATAAAGAAGATGGTTCGACAGATCAACAATGCTGTAGAAGCAGAGACGGGAATAACGATTCCCCAAGAATATCAACAGTAGAAGGTCCTGTTCGAGGAAGGAAGCTACATAAAGAAACTTCCACCTTACAGACCTTGGGACCACGAAATCAAGCTGGAACCGGGCAAGACGCTACCCTTCATACGCATCCGACACAAATCCGAAGACTACCTCAAAGCAGAGAAGGAATAGTTAGACGAGATGCTTAAGAAAGGCTGGGTCAGACCATCCAAATCCCTAGCAGGAGTACTATACATAGCGGTACTAAAGAAGAATAGAAAGATTCGGATCGTTACAGATTATAGACGACTCAACGAAATTACTATCAAGGACCGCTACCTATTACCAAACATCGGTAAGCTATACGACCGATTGAACGGATCCAAATAGTTTACTAAAATCGACCTTAGAGACGCATTCTACTCAATTAGAATAAAAGAAGGCGAAGAATAGAAGACAGCGTTCCTTACGTCGAGAGGACTCTATGAGTTTCTCGTAATACTAATGGGACTTACAAACGCCCCAGCAACACAATAAAGATATATTAACGACCTCCTCCGAGACCTTCTCGACATTACCGTTGTCGCCTACGTAGACGACATCCTTATCTTTACGAAAGGAGACAAGGAACAACACGTTAAGGACGTTCAGGAAGTCTTCAAAAAACTCTCCAAGTCCGACTTCCGAACCGCGCCAGAGAAATGCGAATTC